CTAACCATGCATTACATACATATCTTACACTGGGATCCCTCACAGAGGAAGCTGAAACAGGCACAATTTAGCTATTTAGAAGGTTATTTAAGGATGAGGTGCATGGCACTTATCCTAATTAGCAATGACTAATTATTTCCATTGAATGTACATGATTTCGCCCCAGGTAAACTTACAATTTATCTCCACATAGGAATCAACCATCATTTTTATTGCTATGTAACTACTCTCTTACAAGTCAGAGGCAGGGTTGGTCAGAATATATTCCTACAGAGAGGGGTTTTTTTTCATGATATGTGCAAGTACCCAGAAAGTTTATTGCAGTATTATGCAAAATGACCAAGTCTCAGGAGTAGCAAGTATGCTGTTGCTTAACTCTAGCAAAGACAAGATATTTCTCTCAAGCCTAGGCCTGCCTACATAGATAGCATTAATCTTTCAGCCCAGTCCTAATGCTTGGCTAACCATCTGAAGGATGCCACTGTTTCTTGAGAAGAATTTCTGGGAGCAGCAAAGCTGCTGCAGTGATTCCTCTCCTTTCTCCAGGAGATGCAGCAGCACTCAGCATGTCAGGGCGAGAGTGGAAAGTTGCTTCTGTCCCTGCTCACACCTCCCAGGAACCAGATCCTCTGACCCTGGCCCAAAAGTCTTCCTGGACAAGGTTAAGACCAGCAGTTACAGCAGACCCACAAATGACATTTTCAAAGAATCAGCTTCCCAGCAATTCCAGATCAGCATGGTTAAAGAATCCATCAGTCACGCCCAGTCTTTTTAAAATCTGCCTTAGGTTGTAGGTGCCAGAAATAGACTCTTGGATAATATATGTTGCTGCTGTTGAAGGCAATGGAAAATGAGGGTGAATTACCACACATGGGTATCACCTGCATGTCAGCCAGGAAAAACACAGGTAGAGGAAAGCAGCTTCTTACTTCACTGCACATTCCTGTTTTTGAAAATGGCTGTGTCCCCAGAACATGGGCAAATGTAAGGCCAAACTAGAAATTTTGTGTAGCTCTGCAAAATGTGAGCCATCCAGGGGAATTGCACAGAAGAGAGTGTGGAATTCTTGGATGCTTTGAGATAAGTGGCGGCTGGGACAGGGGGACTCTTGCTCCAGGAACCAGGGGACTCATATAAAAGACTGACAAACATGCTTTTCCCATTGGCCTGATAATGATCTATATGGAAGGAATGAAGGAATAATTTCATTATCTCTCCCTCTACTCTCTCTGACTCTGGTCAGTTATGCAATGTGTCTTGGTTCCTCCTTATAGGAGCAGTTTCATCCCATATCATTAACTTATTTCTGTTGCTGTTTGGTCATCAGATTATCATATTTCAGTTTCTGCTTGGTCATCTTATTATTATATGCTGGCTTTTCATGTTATATTTGAGGGCTTTCCAGGGCAAAGGATTTCTGACTGTAAAAACAAAAGATAAGCAAGATAAATGTGTACATTGCATGATAAATCCTCAAGCAGCCATTTCTTGTTTCCCTATAAAGACGTATCATTCAAGGTATGTTAATCTAAAAAGTTCATCTAAAAGTTCATCTAAACTGACTTCTTGACATATGTAACTCCATTAAAATTGGGAGATTGGTATCATTGCAAAACTGGTATAAGTAGAATAAAAATCAACTCCTTTCAGTAATTTTATCTTTTCCTGTAGAGGGCATCCCAAATAAACTCTCCATGTCTTAGAAATGTTTGATCCTTTTCTCCTCAAATAATGCAACTGCTTTAGGCTCCCTTTTCAAAAACCAGCATGACTAACAGAAAGAAAAAAAAAGCAGAAGGCTAAGCAAAATTCTGTGACAAAACTGGGAATAGAAACTAGACCTTTCCTACTTGGATTTCAGCTTCTTTCACTAATGTAGTAGGAATCTTTGAACTGAATTTTCATATAAACTCATAGTCTGCTAGAAGAAAGCCGTATGAGCAGAGCCAAATACTCTATTTTTTTCCTTCTGTGTTATATCCCAGAAGAAAATAAAGTCCTTTTTTTATCAGGTGTGATTTCTTTTCTCATAACCGACATTTTACCGCAGATCATTATTTCATCAGTGTTCAGAAAATAATATTTTATATTTACTACTTTTTTGTACTTAATCTCCTAGCATTGAATGAAAAATGTTTCCAAGAGCATACAAGCATTTAGGGCCTGATGTGAATTCCATTGAAGTCAATCAGCCAGCACTGTAATGCTCAGTATGGGTGATCTGTCACTGACTGCTCATCTCAGATTTTCCTGATGTATTTTCCATTAAGTTGCCAGATAGCAGAGTTGTAGACATACCTGACACTACCAAAGCTTTTCAAAACTAGTTGTTAGAAGTTTTATAAAAAACCCTCAAATAAAACAGGGATTAAAATGAGTAATAGTAAGTAGAATTCAAGACCAAAATTTTGCTCTGAAAATGTATCTCATCTATGAATTTCTCTTTTCAAAAGATACATCAAACTCACGTAATTAGGACTACAGACCAAAATTCTGAATTAATGGCAATGGTACAAGAGCTTAGAGATGGCATGTATAACTTCCAGAATTAAAATAAATGGCAGAAAATTAAAATTGTGGTGCCCTCCTGAGTGCCAGTGAAGTCGAAGGCCATCTCTTCCAGCCCCTGAGCCTGACTGGTGGCTCCAGAGACAGGAAGAGCAGAGCAAAAACAGTAGAGAAGCTGACCAGGGAGAAGAAAATACTCTTGCCAGGTCCTTGGGCAGTCAGTTGCCTGTAAAACTGTAAGGAAGAGTGTGTGTTTCTGAGGGATGCTCATTGGCAGCACCCCAAAGAATCTCCATTGTGGGCCTGCTGTTCCTGTGGAGCTCAGTTTTCGTACTCTGCTTCTGGCCACTGAGCTGTTGACAGTTGAGGACAACAAGCTCACATGCAGCAAAGGAGCATTTCATGCAGTCACGGATAAAGAAAAAGTAAAATTGTAAATAGATTTCATATCTGGATACATGCCAAAACAACTCCTAAATTCATCCATCTGGCTCTTTGAGAACTTCAGTAGTTATTACTTTATCAGGTTATAGCCACATTTGTCATTCTGATTTGTCAGTAAAATAACTTCTAAACATTTTTAGCAGTCAAAAAATGAGTTTCCCTTTGGTCTCTCACTGTCTTTGAGAATGAATTGATCACCTAGAATTTGATTATAACTCTCTAGCTCAGCACTAATTTGGCAGTAGTATTGCTGCAGCCGTGCTCTGCTTTGACATCACTGTCAGGTCCGAGGAGTGGGGAGCTATGCTCTTTTCCACCTCCACCTCTGCCTGCTCTCTCTGCCTGCCCCTGCACAGTTGTTGGAAGGATATCTGCATGATGTTGGCCTTGGGTGCTGAGCCTTTCTCAACAAGGGGTCCACCTGCCAAGGGAGACTCTCCAATGGCCTTTTTCTGCCAGCTCGTTCCAGTTTGCAGCATCAGGCCACACTTACCAGGAAACTGCATCCTTGAACTAGTGACAGACTTTCTGGATCATAACAAAAATCTTGGTTTCAATATTTTTAAGGAGGAAAGGGGATATAGATGATGGACAATGCCTATGCTTCCACAGTAGGTTGTATAACATTTTAAATTGCATTTGGGTCATTTATGTTACAACATGATAGAATTAAACTTTCATATTTTATGCTTCATGGTCATTTCTCTGTGCTCAGGTTTGAAGTGTTTCTGGTAACTGCATCATCAAAGCATTGTGGTATCAGCTGAGGAACACCACAAATCATTAATGAGGAACAGCCTTTTGAAAATAAGCACTCATATTTACTGTGAAAATAAGCATACACAATTACAGCAAATGCACAGGACAAATCAGGAGAGAGCACCAAAACACATTTGTGCTAACTACATGGGAGCCTCGCAGTCTGACTTGACATAGTTTTGAAGGGCTTTTATTGAACTGCCAAATCTCACTTCACATCAGGGTCTCCAGTTCCCTCATTTCTGAGAAGCAGTTGTGAAGGCCTATCAGCATCACCTGGGACTTAGTGTTATTCAAAAATATGCAAATTGCCAGCAGAGAGGAGCTTGTAGGGCTGAGTGGTGAAGGGACACTTTCCCTCTCCTCTGTTGTTCACTCTGGCTCCATTTGTTGCAGTACACAGAGCAGTTCTGGGGAACAGACCTGGCCATCAGTCTGCAGACACATTCTTATACCTTTAGAACAGTTTCAGACACATGCCACCATAGGATTCTTCCAAACACGTGCTAAGCATGTGTTTGGAGTTAGCACAGGCCAAGGCCCATTTCCAATAAGTAGATGGGATGCCTTGCAGGGTCAGAATTTCAGAATTAAGCAATGTACCGTGATAAGCCAGCTGACCTCATGGTTAGAGAACAGATCTTAGAGCTCTTTATTTACCAGCATAGATGTACACTCTCGAGATAGGATTAATCTCACTGTTTGTTCTTCCCCCTTCCAGGTATTCATATCCTGTCCCTTTTGAACATCCACAAGGGACTTCTATTTACAAGAAATACAAGATTAAATCTATAATGCAATGCCAGTAGAAACTTTTGGATGTCTAGCCAACTAAAACATTTCCCAGCAGTGCTTCCACATAGGATGTTTGTGTAGAGTTTGTTACATTAATGGCCATGGAATAAGACTTGACCTTCAGAGGAAGTGTCTAGGCCTGGTCTAAAGTGACTGACTCTCCCAGTGTGTAATTTGTAGATGTGCCTCCCTTCTACTGGAAACTCTCCCAATATCAGAAGCTAACCTGTAGTTTGCAGAGAATTCATTTGGATTTATCCAGTCAAATTTTATTTATTTACAGTAAATAAAACTTTCAACTGAGTCTCTCAGCTGGACATTACCTCGATTTTCAAAGATGGCACTGATCACTAAAAGGCTGATGTATCAAATTCTTCACTATTTACTAATAGGTATATCTCAATCGTTATTTTCTGTGGAAGGACGAAGCAAAATGAATGTTTCTAAGAATGACTGCACTCTTTCCTGATTCTTTGGAAAAAGAAAATTGTTAATAACTGTTGGGATATAATTTTAATCTCAATGGACAACAATTCCATAAAATGCAATTCAAACCAATAAGACCAGCCACTGACCAGTCATTTTTCAGTTGGGTTTACAATTTTTCCCATGAAGAGGATGCTCTGAGTATACTGATCAACAATCAGCAGCAAGAATGGATGATTGAATTTAACAATGGGAGGGGCAGAATGAGGAAGAAAATCTATGCTGCTGGCTGCTGCAGCCTCTGTGCCATTCTCATGGATCTTCAGCAGGGCCTTGTGAGTAGCCTACAATAAAATACAGCAAGAATTAATGTATGAGGAAGATGTGGTGTGAAATTATTCAAATTAACACAAAGTTAATTCAACTACTGTCTTTCACAAAAATTGCTGGTAAGCCAGGAACCAGGAAGAAGGGCACTACAGACCATTGTGTGATTCTTAGCAATGTTGTCTCAATAAGCAAATATTTACACATTCAGTGTTCCTCACCACAGGTGCATCAATGCAGACCTTAGCAACTGCACACCTTGTGGAAGTAATTGAAAGTAAAATAACCAAGCAAACTGACAGGGAATGTCAGTTTCACAGGGAAAGGGAATAGGGTTCCAGAACTACTCTGTAGGTATTCCTAACAGCACATGCACACAGTTTAGCCAGGAATTCAACCTTGCTACCAAATTTTTTGTTAAATTATTGTTGGGCATTTTTAATATTTTTCTTTTACTAGCCCCAAAATGCTAGAAAATTTTAAGAGATGTTTTCAGAATGGTTGTAAAAATGCTAATTTTTATCTACACATTATTTTAAGTAAATTGGTTGTTTTCCTCAAGTCTGGTCCATTTTATGTTTTTAGCACTCAACAGAGTCTTAATAGCAACAGCAGTTTCTAAATCCTTTAAAATTACAGAATGCATGTTAGAAAAAGGCCACTTTTTCTGATGCAAGACATGCACAACACGGTCATCCATAGGTACTTCTTTTACATGTACAAAATATGCTGTGTTTAGTTTCCTGGTTAAATGCTAAAATCCGCCTCTACATCTATCCTCCATCTTTGCTTGTCAGATAAAAGAAAATATACTTATCTCCAGATCTTGGAGAAGTCTGAGGGAATTTAAAGGGACTTTATCAGCTAAATGTTCTATTTCAGAGTATCAGCCAGCCCTAGCAATAAGTCAAATTTCACAGGTGAACTTAGGGTAAGGCAATTGGTTGTTAAGGAATCCATAGATGGTTGTTTCTGCTGATAAACTTACTTTTGAAACCTTCACATTTCGGTTTCCTGTGATTCCAGACAGATCAGCCCGGTTAGAAAACACATCGGTTACGCCCAGATTCATTAAGATCCTCTTTAAGTCATAGGTGCCTGAAATTGATAATTTTGGAATATGCAATTCCATCCTCCTGTCAATACAAAAGTAAATTATGGTAGTTATTGCAATCAGAACATGCCTTGGACTGAAGATTCCTAGCTTGATGGTGGTTCTTCTGTGCTAGAATGCTAATCTTTTCATCTGAGAAACATGGCAAGAAAAAGAAGATAGGAAGATGCTGATCTGAGGAGGATAGAAAAATATGGAAGGAGAAAGACATCAGTTCATATTTCTTTTATGATCCTGCAACAGAGTCACTTTATGGGAGAGTAAACAGTAGTGCTGCCAGCATTTTTGGGACAAAGTTTGATTTCTTATTCTAACCTTGAAGTTTCTGCTTTTGGAATTCCTACCCCATTCCCTCTAAGGGACTGATTGCTATGTCACAGTATTACCACTCAAAATATTTTGCCTGAGATGAGGGAAATGGTGATACTTAGCATCAACTGAAAAATGTATGGGGAAAAAAGAATTAAATTTCCCACCTCAGAGACCTCTTCTCCCATCACAAAACAATGATGATTCTAATTTTTGCTGAAAGTATCAAATCATTTGGTCTGATCCTTTATACTTCTTCTGTTGTTTAAACCTCCCATCAAAAATGCAAGGTAGTAACTCTAAAACCTGACCATAGCATTCAGACTTCAGGTTCTGACTACTTTGAATCATCAAATCAAAATTCTATATTTACCATCTTTGAAGAGATCTTTCCCATTTAGAAATGGTGTTTTTTGTCAGGGCACTTTCCAACTGTTTCATTTTTCCTTTCTTGGGCAGGATAAACAATGCTGTAACATCTCCCTTGTAAGGAATCTGCACCACCTTGCAAGACAGCTTCCTGTCAGAGTATGCTTTATAAAATCCATCTCGAGTCATCATCTCCACTTCAACTGAGGTCTTTGCATTCACATGGAAAAAGTCCTTGTGAGTCCCCTTAATATTGAAAGGATTTTCCCAGTAAGCTTAAAACCAAAAGAGAAAGAATGGAATTGAATACTTATTTCAGTGAGGATATGTTAATTTGTCCAGACTAATTTACAGTAAATAAAATCATATCTGAGTATTTACACTTGGAGATAAAAGGTGTTCAAAGTTTATTAAATATCTTATTCTCTGTAACAACTAAATACCACAGGTTAAATTTTGTGTGGACAATCTTTCTATGTCAGATAAATTAAAAGAAGTAACTTCATTGTATTACCTTATGTTTTATTTGAAGAAAATGAAAACTGACCAGAATCCAGGGATTTGCTGTTTTCAGAATATTGTTTGTAAAGCAAGTTTCACAGCAGATGTTTAACTTTTAAAAGGTAGCATGTTATGCTCTTCACATGGTTTCTTGTATGCTTTTCATCTTGTAATACTAAGGAAAAGCTTACATGCTAGAGAAACACAAACTTTTGGACCTGAACATGACTGCATTATGGAATAAAGCCTCAAGGTCTTTAGCCTTCAACATGCTTTGCTCTATATGTTTATTCAACTGAATTTTCTATGATATTTTATTTTGTAATTAAAAAAAGTTCATTCACTAAACAAATAGACTGGGATTACAGCTTGCCATTCTGTAAGTATGTTTTTTGGCCTTTTTTTTTAAAATGTTGAATAGAAATAGTGTAATTTAAAAAATAAATAAAGGAATATAAACTCCATAATATTCCAGCCACTTTATAAGTTTAAGCCTTCTCCCTTGCCCTCCATCAAAGAAATTTGCTCTGATATGGTGCTCAGACTAGGAAACCTGAAATTAGGTCACGAAAATTTATAAAGTATTTGAAATAAAATATTTTTTTATTTTGCTAAAAGTCCATAATTTCCAAATATTCCTTTCTGGGTGGGAAATTCCATTTATGTCCTGCATGCTGCTACAAATGAACACCCAAGAAGAAGTTAATAATTTCCAAAGCAATACATTCAAATACCTCTTGGGATGTGTGTAATATGATGACAAGGTGTAGAACATCTGGACTCCAACTCCAGAGGTACCTACCCATGTAATAGTCATGGACTGTAAGTAAATTAAAGTTTTTGGCATTTTTTGTTAAGCATCACCTTCAGATTTTAGTCTTCTACTTCACACATAAAATGTGAAAACATTTTGATTTTTAAAATAATAAGTAGATGAAGTCTGACAGGATAATTTAACAATTAATAAATCTGTTGTTCCCTGGCAATTCCCTGAACATGAATATTACAAGTAAATGAACTTTTATGTTTAGAAGTCTAAATATATGCTAGAAAAATTTAGATGTGGAAGAGGTTTCAGAGTGGTGGAGGTTTCAGAGTATTTTTCCATAATAGGCTCACGTAACATGTTCATTTAAAAATTATTCAGAAATAACTTGGTGTCCTTGTTTTACTTCAGGTGAAACAGCACAAAACAGATGCAGTAAATAGAATCTATGTAACTTACCTTTGAAATAAATGTAGTTAACAATTACCATCAGAGTGTTTGGATCAAGGTCCTCAAGTACTTGGTTTATATTCCCATGGGTTTTATTCTTTACATAATCATTGATGTCTCTTTTAGCTTCAGTGGAATTCTGGAAGCTACTAGAGACAACTTTTCCTCTGTAGAGTTTTTTGATGTCCTTCAGAAAGGTTTTCATTGGCTTCAGGTGTTTGTCCATGAACAGGGTGCTGCCCATGCTCAGCTGCACCTGGCTGCCAGGGCGGTTCAGCAAGCGGAGGAGCTGACGAAAGCCGTGGTGTATCTCCTCCTTCTGGATGCTGCTGAGGTTAAAGGCCAGTCCTTCCAGCAGCTGAGCCTGGCTGCTGCCTCGGGAGCCCAGGGCCAGAAGGGCAAGGGCAGCAGAGATGCTGACTGGGGAAAAGAAAACGTTCTTGTCAGGTTCTTGAGTGGTTGCTTGCCTGTAAAAATGAAAGGCAAAGTCTGTATTGCTCGGGATTATCCTTTGGCAGGACTCAAGAGGATCTACCTCGAGAGAATGCTGCTCCTGGGTGTCGGTTGCCTCAGGCTGGTCAGTGTGGTGATCAGTCTGGGTCAGACTGTGGACACTGAGGTGAAGCATGGCCACCAGCAAGCACAGTGGGAGCATGGCCTTCATCATTCTTCACAGATACTGCGTGGACAAAGAACAAAAGGTCTTGGATGCTGGAGGTTGGCTGTATCAACACCTCATCTTTTATTTCTGTCTGCTACTGCCTTCAAGTGGAAATCACTGTTATGTCCTGACCTCCTCCTTTGCTTTTAAATCCTTGTGCTTCTGAGTTTATCTGTAATTCCTATGCATTGCTGCCTGCTTCAGTTCTACTTTACTCTAGCTACTTCCTTGTTAATGGGGAAAGAAACATGTGAGTATTAAAGAAAAATAAGAGTCCAAGGGAGAGAAGAAGTGAAAAGGTGCTTTGTTTTTGAACTGGCAAAGCAACACATTAGAAGCCTTCTGATTAATTCTTTTGTGCTTATCTCTTCAGACCTCCAGGATTATTATGCTATTAGGGTTTGAATGAGGTTTATGCTAAAAAATAGTACTACACTGCTATATCAAAGGAAAACAATATGAGATTGCAGAATTCAAAAGTGCTATTTTCTCTCATTCCTGACTCATTTTACCATACAAAGTGACTAATCATAAGAGCTGGTAAAATTTTTCTGCTTCAATACCTGATTAAATTAGAGTATGTTTGTCTGTTTTAAATGACCACTCATGTGTCACCTGTCTTCCAGATGGGTTCCTTCTTGTGTGTATCCCACATCTTGTTATGGGAAGGTGAGACCATTAGTGTGGGCTTGGCCTCTCCTGTCTTTGCAAGCTTCATATCAGCAGGAAAGTATCCTTTCATAAGGTAAATATGCCTAAGGCCAGAGTAGTGCTCAGCAGCAAGACTGGATCAGGGCACCTTGGACATTTGTAGTTTCACTACAAATGTCTAAGGTGCCCTGTGTGTCCAAAAAGTGATCACACAAAAAGTGTGATCACTTTTTGTCTTTGTTTGCTTACTGCTTTCTCGTTTACCAGTTAAACCAAGAACATGCTGGGTTGGTTTGTGGTGTCTAAGATGCTTAACATGTCAGAAAACAAGTAAGAGCTATTCCCATTAACAATATGGTACCAGTGACTAGAAAAGCTCCAAATAGCCTTCACCTAATGTCCTGCTTGAAACAGATCAGCTTCAGGCAGAAGATCATAAGCTACCTGCTTACCAGTCAATGGTAAAAGACACGGGTTCAGCAGAGCAGATGAGATGTTTACTGGGATTCTCTCCACCCTGGGACAGCACTCTGACCACCAAGGTTTGGGTGAAAAGGAGCCAGCTTGTCTTTTTGCAGCTTTGCTCTGTGTGATCTGAGTAAATTGGAATTTGCAGAGGACATTGGCATAGAAAGATCAGGTTGTGAATTCTGTCTGGGTTATCTTAGTCTAAGCAAGTTACTTACTCATTCCCTTCAGTTTTGGTTATCTGATTGTCAGCTTTAGGGAAAATTAGTAATGATAAATAAAATTGACAGTTGAGAAGTCGGAATACTTCTGTCATTGAAGCATATTTTTTCTAGATTTTTTGAGCTATTTGGGATAAATATTCATAGCAGAATTATACTCTGTGGAACTGCTATAATGAATCCCCAGAATTTACTATTCAGTATTTCTTGAAATTAAGTTCAGCTGTCTTGAGTACTTAGAAACTAGATTTCACTCTTGAAAGCAGATGTACTTTATGACTCACTTAGCTAAATACCATACAGCTGGGTCAAAGTCATTAAGATAAAGATAACTGGGTACTTACTTTACATTCAGAGGGCTCGTGCTCTCAATGGGCTGTGCTGTTTCTTGCTGCTTTACTCGTACTGCTGTTTTCCTCTGTTAAACATTACATGGCTTCAGATACATATTACCTGGAAACACAAAGCTGAATGCTGGTGAAGCCAGTGTTCTTGGACCTTGTATGCATGTGTCCACATCTCTTCACTCCAAACAGAGCAAAGACCACCAGGCCCAGGCTGCTCAGTAGAGTACAGTGTTGCATTCCAAAGGGTATGCAACTGTTAAGCAAATATTTATTGGAAATGATATTTTGGTGTCAAGAGCACAGCACTCTGGCCTGTGTGCTACCTGAGATGAATATAACTGCTCATCTGGAGACACAATTTTGCCCAGTACTAAGCTCTGAAGGCCAGGGTGAGGCAGTCACAAGGAGCACCACTTGTTCTTCAGTCATGCTACTCAGCTTACTGAGCTCCATTTATGTGTCAATGTCTCATCTTTTATTTCTACACATTAGAAACCCCACTGGTCGCTACTCAGGGACCAATGAGTCCTCTTGGCCTCATAAATAAAGAGGGTACCTTGTTCGGTCTTGTAATGATCTCCTCACAATCAAATTATTCTTTCTGTATCTCTGTTAAGGACCACCTAGCCTATCAAGATCTGGAAAGTACTTAATTTAGATTGCAGCTCTTGAAAAAGCTGTATAAAATATGTACCATCACTGCAAATGCCCAAAGACAATACTGAACAAATGCAACTGCTGTAATGTATACGAGCAGCAGCCTAGTCTCAAATACATCAAACAACAACAAATGATGGAAGAGAGTAACCCAGAAATATTAACCAGTAATAAGGCAGTGTCAAACTGTGAGTCTCGACCTTCTTCTAAAGATGTATTTCCCAGGAATCTTCCAAAGAAGATGAAGATAAGTGCTGTGAAGCAGGTTTACCCCCATTCACCAATGGATGAGCATAGTTTGATCAGCCAGCCAGGACAATGCCTGTTTAGTCTCTCTATGCCTCTGCTACACTTCGCAGGATTTGTTCAGTAAGAGACAGCACAATCCCCTTGATGCTGTAGAACCAAGGAGCTGTGTATGTAAAACTGTGTAAGCACAGCAGCTCCCAGCTATGCTGCTTTCAGAGATTGTTCTTTACCTGCTGGGATCATGGCCTTGGTCATGCAGATGGGTTCCCTGCATGGTATTTACAGACTCAACCCTTTTTTTTAATTTCCTTTTTTTTTTTTTAAATTTCAGAATATAGCTTAGCTCTGCATGTTTGCCTTAGATAGAACCAAAGTTTGCTGTTAAGTATTTTTTTTTTTTTTTTTTTTTTTTTTTTTTTAAATTTCAGGATATAGCTTAGCTCTGCAGTTTGCCTTAGATAGAATCAATGTTTGCTGTTAAGTATTTTGATTTTTGAATTTGAATTTTTTCTTATTAGAGTACCAATTGCTGCTGTCTCTTGGAGCACTTGTGAAGGTCAGGTGAGGCTAGATAAAATAGCCTGTTTTCTTTTTTTGTCAGTCACAAACACTCTGCATTTAAATTGAATGAATGTATAAGCCACAATGCCTTATGCCACAAGTGCAGTGTTTCAGGGAAAACGAGAGAGGTGCTCGTGGTGCTCCAAGACAGGCTGTTGGTGGTTCTGGGCACTTTTTTAATCATAGAGGTGAACATTGTTAAATATTTACACTTCTGTTAAACATTACATGGATTAAAAAAACTCCAGCTGTCTGAGGACACAGATAAATGCTGATGTAGCCATGCAGAGAAGGTAGAAGTCAGGGCTTGCTGGGCTAGCTGGCTTTGATGTTTGTTGTCCCCAAACATGCATTGCAGCCATCTGCCATCTCTGAAGAGGAAAGGTCCATGGCCATGAGCAGCTGTACTACCAGATACACCTCTCTAGCTTATTGCCAACTAGTGGCACAACTGCTAAGGCATCTCCTGAAGTGTGTTAGAGCCTGCACTGGGGCTTTAGATTTTTGATCATACATCTTGGGCACCTCCTTCAGCATGGCACTAAGAAAAGCAGATCAGAAGAGGCAATTAACACATAACTTGGGGTTTTTTCCCCACAAATGAGCTTGGCAGCAGTTCAGAAACTGTCCTACATTCAGAAGCTTTCTTTGAGCCTTGGTTTTGTCACAACAGAAGAGGAAACCTGGGCCATGGACACATAACTTGGGGTTTTTTCCCCACAAATGAGCTTGGCAGCAGTTCAGAAACTTCAGAAAAAGTTCAGAATGCCCTACATTCAGAAGCTTTTCTTGAGCCTTGGTTTGGTCACAACAGAAAAGGAAACCTGGGCCATGGATTCTCCTGAGCAGCTGTAGGGCCAGCTGAAGCAGAAGGTAGCAGGAGAGAGACAGTACTGTAAAAAATTGTATTGCAAGCATTGGGGCTAATTCTGGATTCCTCTATGACTCTGAGGTGTCATTCTGAGGGGTATTCAAGATTTTCTCTAGTTTTCTTTTAATAGTTATCTATGTAAAAAGCTATCTCAAATAGAGAAGCACCGTAAAAAGTACAAATTGGTTATAAAAAGATGTGCAAAATTGTTGTGTTGCCATTTTCATATTTCAAAGCCTTGAAAATAATATTTCAGAATTAAAGTCTCAGGAAAGAAAGGAGATGATCCCATTTTGTTTCATTCATTAAACTCTCAAAAGCTTCCCTTCTATGTATTGCATTTATTGAACTTGAGAAGAACCGGAATTCATGTGTCAAATACACACTTGTCTGTGTTGTGTGGAAAGTGAACTTCTTAAATATGGAAACAGATTTCTTAAATCCATGTTTATGGACCAAACAAAAAATGTCCTAATAGTCAGTCTGTACTTCATGGAGACATTTGGCAGATGTTTGGAATAAATGTTAACGTGTTTGATATTTCCTGGCCAAGTCATGTTTTTATCCAAGAGCCCTGTTGTTACTAAAAGAGTTTAATTTTAAAACTCTGACTTTGAAAACGTTAGTTGTGCTAGTGGGAAGTTTGTCCATGAAAGTGTTACTAATCCTAAGTAGTTATGTATTATTGTTTTATTTAGTAGTAGTAATGATTGGCTTACAAGAAACTTTAAGACATGCAAATACAGGCTCTGGATGCACTGAAATGCCTCTCAGTCATCTGCTTCATTTTTCTTGTTAGCCCACTTGTGAAAGAAACATAATTCTGCTCTTAGTTCTAATACAAACACAGGTCATGTGCAAAGTCATTCTGATCTGATGTATTGTGTTTATCCTTTCAAGAGATGAAATGTTGATTTTTGTCATTGATACTAAAGAAAACTCTCCCCTCATGTTTTCACTTGGCTTGGACTGTTGGCACTGCTGAATTTCTGTAAGCAGCTACACAGTGGCTGTTCACTGAGCTGTGCCTAACAAAGTAATGAGGTTTAATTAGCCCAACTTAATCTGACAGTGTGCTCCTGGCACACTATCAGTTTCTACAGCTGCTTAGTGATGCATGCATGCATGCATATGAAATAAAGATCACTCCTTGAAATTATTTGCTTTTTGTATTATGTAATCAAATTTCAAGTTGTCTTTGCCTACATTCTCTGCTTCCCTCTGTACAATATAAAAACAGGTCTCAGTTAAGCAAATTGACATTTTCCTCAGTTTGTATTTGATAGAGGCTATTTTCAAGCTACAAATTTCATATTCTTGTTGTTTAATCACAGCAAAAGTTTGGATCACACAAGAACCCAAAATCTGTGCAGTCAAGCCCCTAATCCTTAATATCTCCAACACATAAAATTGTTTCAGAGTGCAAAAGCTGTGAGTACTGCACACAGGCTGCTTAAGGCAGCATCAAGTCTGCACAGAGAAGATAATGGATTATAGTTTACAACATCTTCCCTTACACTTTCTTTTTTCCAATGATGTTGATGACCATCATGCCTTATATGGATTTACAAAACTCCAAGCCAAGGTTTCGTCAGTGGTTTTTGCTACAGACAGTTTAACCTACAGCTGTAATCAGTGATAACTGCTGAGTAGTGAGAAGACAAGATTCAGCAGCCCTGGCTAGTGCAGCCTCAGTGTGCTTCCCAGCAAAATTCAGGAGGTCTTTGTGAACATCCTGCAAAGAAAGTGGGCAAATTTCATAGGAACAGAGGTGGACAGCAAAAGTGTAAAGGGAGGTTGCTGATGCAGTGGCTTCCTGGAATGATTTCATCTGAGGAATCCCAGCCCAGGGACTCGAGACAGACCTATCTTGTGGACAGGAGGGAACTGGAAATGCCAGAAAGAGGTTGAAGTGAAAAAGTAAGGGAGATGTTCTGTGCTTCTCTAACATAACACACGTATGCACTTAGTAATAAAATCTTGTTCAACTTTTGTCCAGCTATGTTGTCCAATGGTTTCTTGCAGCAGATATATAATCAATATAGCAGAGAAACATTAAAACTCAGTGATTATAATCGGACATTAAACATATTTCTAAAACTGTCTATATAAAGTATTTTCCTTTTTGGGAAAACATCATCAACAAGTGTCCCAGTGTGTTTTCCCCATAGGTTTTGTGCCTGTGCAGCAGAATCTTAGAATCAAAATCTAGGATGGAGAGACCTCCAAAGGCCGTCTAGTCCAGCCCTTTGCACAAAACATCAGGTTTCTCAGGTACATGTCTCCAAGCACGTGTATTTTGCATCCTCTCTGGACCACGTCTTCCAGACTGAACCACTGCATGGTAAAAATGTGTTCCTAATTAGAATTTTTTACATTCAAACAGCTCTGTTCTTTGATCTTCAGTGTCTTCCAGCTCCAGCATCATACATCTTTGTCATGATCCAGGGACTTCTGATCTGTCATTTACAGAGAAACCATTGCATTTTCTGAGCTGAACCTTGCTTAGCATTAATTGAGGGAGAGCTTCCATGGATCTTCTGCCCTTCCGTTTATCTCAGGGGGGTCTTTGTGAAGCATAATCCACGTGGATGCTTTGTCCAGCCCCCTCCCCCACCAGCTGACTTTTTTTTGAGTCACGAAAAGACGCAAAGGAGAAAAGTAAATGTTCTTGTCACCTGCTATTGCTAGATCTGCTTGTAAAGCCAAAATTGCTGGTGCTTACCTTCAGTAGAGTCAGGTTTTGACTACGCTGTTACTTTCCAGGGACTTAGGTAATTTACAGCTCTATGAGAGGTAATATTCAGTGAAGCAATTGGCTAATTTATGATATTGAAACCCAATCACACAGTGGACGTTTTATTTGCTGGATGTCATTCACAAGATAATGAGGAAGGGAATTAACATCTGAGTGAGAAAGCATAATGAAAATTCTTAATTTCTTTCTAGTAAAGAGACTGAAGCATTTCTTTAAGGAACCCCCATGTTATACTGTCCAAAAACTGGCCAAAAAGTGAGTAATTTCAGGTGGGAATAGGTCTGAGTTTCACTTATGATTCATAGCAGTGTACCGAATGAGTTGGAGCCTGAACTAAAGACTGGGTTTAACCTTACTGTATCAGATGTACAAAATAAAAAAGAGAAAGGGAGCCATCACCTCACTAAGCCTGGCAGGGAGTGGTCTTTGAGCAGATAGTGGTGTGGAAATTGCTGGCAGTTAGAACAGATGTAAACCTCTCAGGAAAGAAACTGCTGCAGTGCTCTGCAGAATCATTTGTGTTTGGGTTAGAAGGGACCTTGAAGATCATCTAGTTCCCAACCACGCCACAGGCAAGGACACTTTCCACTACACCAGGTTTTCTCAGGGTCTATCCAGCCAGGCCATTGACACTGCCAGGGATGGGGCATTCACAGCTTCTCTAGGCAAACCAATTCAGTGCCTTACCACCCTCACAGTAAAAAATTCCATCTTAATATCTAATCTAACCTACTCTCTTTCCACTTGAAGTCATTCCCCCTTGTTGTGCCACTCCAGGCCCTTGTACAAAGTCCCTAAGACTGGGTTTAACCTTACTGTATCAGATGTACAAAATAAAAAAGAGAAAGGGAGCCATCACCTCACTAAGCCTGGCAGGGAGTGGTCTTTGAGCAGATAGTGGTGTGGAAATTGCTGGCAGTTAGAACAGATGTAAACCTCTCAGGAAAGAAACTGCTGCAGTGCTCTGCAGAATCATTTGTGTTTGGGTTAGAAGGGACCTTGAAGATCATCTAGTTCCCAACCACGCCACAGGCAAGGACACTTTCCACTACACCAGGTTTTCTCAGGGTCTATCCAGCCAGGCCATTGACACTGCCAGGGATGGGGCATCCACAACTTCTCTGGGCAAACCAATTCAGTGCCTTACCACCCTCACAGTAAAAAATTCCATCTTAATATCTAATCTAACCTACTCTCTTTCCGTTTGAAGTCATTCCCCCTTGTTGTAAAAAGTCTCTCTCCATCTTTCCTGTAGGGTCTCTTCAGGTACTGCAAGGCTGCAATCAGGTAACCCCAAAGCCTTCTTTTCTCCAGGCTGAACAATTCCAATTCTCTCAGTGTTTCTTCATAGGAGAGGTGTTCCATCCTTACTTTGTGCATTTAGCAGTGTATTAGTTGGTCTTTCCAGCAGAATATGTAATTTGTTTTCAGCCCATGACATTTAAGGCTGTTGCTTCTGTTATGTGCTTTTATATTCTCCCTAGTGGGTACTGTACAACACTGGGAACAATTACAGACCTGTGCACTGGCACTAACCACTGGCTGTTGGAATAATGTAATTTTCTTTTATACATCAAGCATACTATTTCTCTCTCTGACCCCACAACAATATACAGCTTTTGCTTGTTCCTTCTTTTATGATCTTTAACACTATTCAAAATTGCCTCTGGTTTTCTTCCAGTGTCTGTTAAACTTCACATAATTTCTAGATAACAGTTAAATCTATCTCCACTATGGGTTATCCTGGATTTCTGAGTTCCTCATTTACATTTTTAACCTTTGTTTCACTTCTGATTCCTAAAAATGATAACAAATACAGTTTTCTGCTCTTTCCATGTTGCTTGTTTTCCTTTTCTCCTTATTTCAGTGTGTGCTGTTCCAAAGTTTCTGCTGTGTTGGCAATTCTTTTTCTGTGGCTGTTAACCTACAAGGAAGACTGCTTTCAGCCTTTACAGAGACTGCTTTGATCCATCCCATCCCTGATTTCCCTCAGCACCTGCAGTGCTGAGGCTGCAGCCTGTGCGTGGCACGGTTGCATGCACTCCCACATCACAGCTGTTTGTAGACAGCAGTGCAGGCTGTGTTAGAAGATGTCCTTTGAACTTTGTCCCTCATGTGGCTCATCACACCAGCTCCAGCCTCCAGCAATGCCCCTGCAGCAAAGTGGCCCATCACAGTACTTGTGTGCAACAGCAGCAGCCACTCTTGACCAGCTGGGATGGAAGTCCTTCCCTGGTTACTCTGAGGTTTCTTGGTCACAATACTCACAGCCAGAGAGCCAACCAAGAAACCCATGGAGGAAGAAGCAAAAAAGAAGCAGACTGAAAGAAGATTGTCCTGAGCAAACCATGACTCCAGTGGGTTTGTGACAATCTTAATGGGGACATTTTTGTGGGAGGCTGTGCAATCCTTCTGGGCGCTACACAAATTTGCTGCACATTTGCAGTGAGAGGCATGCCCTATTTTTTGCCAAAATGGAAAGAAAACCAAGGCAAGACATGTATGGTTCCTACACCTGTCTGAAGATGGTTCCTCACCAAGATGCTTTCTGCTCATTCAGTTCTTAAATCAGCTTCATTTTTGTCTGTCCACTTTCAAATGAGTTAAGAGGCAAGGTTGCTTCTCAAAGTGAGATGTGGTTGGCAAAATAGCACTCAGATATCTTTTCCTACTAACAAACAGAGACTATTGATCTGAGGTCCATGATGAACAACAAACATAGTCTTGATATTTGCCTACAGAGTTATTTGTCATTGCAAAGCTGGACTTTGACAATTCATCCTGAGTTAGCCCTGAGATTTGGCAAGAAGTTTTAAATGATCTTCTGTAGAATAAATTTTCCTCTATTTCACCTAGACCAAGTCATTATATGTTTAGAGGAATGAAGCCAACTTCTTGTTACTAAATATGGAACATACTAAATAAGTTATGAGTAAGAAACTTTTGTCATTAATTTATGTGATTTTGAGGAGGGCTTTAAAAGTAAATATCAAGTGTTACCTGTCTGCAGATAGACATGGAATGTTTTTTCTATTCCTTATTGGTGTACATATTTACTACAATTATGGCTACAATTTACTCATATTGATGACACTGATTTAATGTAAAAGAAAATAAAGATCTCCAAACCAAAAAAAGAATTGTGTTTTAGAAATATTCACCACAGTTTTTATGTTATATTTTTCACAGACATCTTAAGAAACTAAGATCCAAAAGGTTGTAATTTATATTTTTTTCTACTACTTTGAGATATTCTGTAACAAAAGATTTAATCAATCTATAATTTACATGCTTTCTTTGGCTTTCTATATTTTAATAAGATGTGCTAAACGTGTTAATTTAAAAACTAAAGCAAAAGATAATAAAATAATTTAAATATTTACTGCTTTGTAAGTGAAGTTATGTTTCTTTCATAACCATGCAATTATGTAGTGCAGCTGGATTCAAGGAACCTTAAGGTAAGAAAATGTACAAATGTCAATTCCCAGTCTGCTTTTACTCCACTGCTAACATTTAGAAAAGTGACTTCTGAAATATTTTCTGTATTTTTTATGTGTGCTTATGATAGCTTAAAAGTTAACAGTCTCTAGAAAAGCTCTGCAGTTCCTACTGAGGAAATGCAAATTTTCTGGAGTTATAATTTGCATTCCTCCTTTTTTTCTACCACAATCTGTCAAGTCTAGCTGGAACGTGAATACCGAAGGCGGCATCAGTAGAAACAAGAAATGACAGTGACAACAAATCTGTGAAAAGGAAACTGGTGCTATGTCATGGACTACTCCATCAGTCTTTTATCTCAAGGCATTAGCAACAATCATTATATTAGTAGGATAAAACAAAAGTCTATTTTCTGCTATGCATTCCTTCCTTAGTAGAATTGAAATTATCTGTAGAGCAAAGCAGCCTTCTTGTCTCCAGGCTGAGGGCTTCTGCTGAGGAGGAGACAGAGGAAGGCAAGCTAAAACAGCTGCATTCATCAGTCCTTTACATTGGTGGTGTCCTCCAATGTTTCAGTCACTGTTCCTGCAGTTTCATGCCACGCTTGGTTACAAAACTTAAAGAAATTAATGAAAATTCACTCCAGTATTAAAGAAATCTGCATCTAAGAGTATTCATCAAGGGTTAGTGGATTAAACAGACTAAATTTTTACCTAATTTTTTCTGTTTCTCCTTTCACATGCACACCCTGTGACTGTACAGTAGTACCTACATCAATTGGAGACCTTGGACCAACTGAATAGCCCACAGGAGCATGTCAGAAAGGGCTTCTTACAAAACTGGTGAAAAGTGACTTGTATTTCATTAACACTACATGCTATATTCAGGTGTAGGCTGTGGGAAATCCTAGTGACTTTTGGACAAGGAAAAACAGTTTTTGTGTTGTAAGGGATTAATAAGGTTTCTAAGGATAATGGTTGAAAGATGAGCACTAGCACAGGGTGGTATGCATACATAAGTGTTTCACTGGATCACAGGAATTTAGCCAGTGTTGTGCATAAGTTTTGTCAATCAGTCATTTTTCTGAGGGTTTACAATTTTCCCAATGAAGAGGACAGTGTGGGTGAACTTATCCAGAATCAGCAGGAGAAATGGTCTGTTGAATCTGACTCGAGGTGGGCGAGGAAAATCCCCAGATCTCCAGGTAATCTCCTTCACTGTGGCTCCGGCCGCCTCAGTGCCATTCTCATGAACATTCAGCATGGCTCTGTGGATCACCTGCAAGGAACAAAGCAAACAGCCTCCAGATGACAATCCAGCAAGAAGAGAGCAGCCTGCCACCCTCTTCACTTTGGCCAGCCAAAGGGAGCCCTGCCTGGAGCAAGACTGAGCAGCAGCAGCTTCTGGGAAGGTCATCACCAGTTGCTCCCCTTCCCACCGCAGCACCAACAGCCATCACACCACTCAAGCCATCCTCCCTCACTGCTTGTGCAGAGGGTAACCCTCAAACTGCAGGCAGCCAAAGAGCACTCGAGATGACTGATGACAAGAAACTCTGGAAGCAAAGAAACCTGGTAATTTAGCCGAGACTCAATTTTGTCTTTGGCAGCTTCATGTATTATTGTGAATTTGCCCTGTCATCTAGCTGAAAAAATAACTTTTTGAGAACACTAGAAGGGCAAGAATAACAGCCCTTTGCTCTCTGTAGGAAGAATTAGAGGAAATTTTACCAAAGCTAATGCTCTAAATTTGGATAATTTTCTTTAGTAGCCAAAAGAACATTTAATGATATGTATGTTTTCATCCTCATTCTCCAACCATGCCTTTCTAACCCCTTGTAAGCGTGTTTGGCTTCAGATTTGTGAAAGACAGGGCTTTCTTTGCTTCCAGTCTGGCAGCTGTTGATGAATGAGTGATGCTTCAGAGAGATTGGGATAAGCTTTTCATGGAATATTATTGTCAGGTTCCTGGGAACAGGCAAATCCTGTGGTTGCTTTCACATGCTGACTTACTTTTGAAACCTTCAGTCCAGGCTCCTCAGTAATCCCTGAGAGATTAGCTTGTTCAGTAAACAGATTGACCATACCCCTTTGTTTGACTATATTTTTCACATCATAGGTACCAGAAATAGAAAATTTTGGAATGTGCAGGTGTATTTTTCTGTAACAAAAAAACACAAATGGGGCAAATCATCATCACCAGAAATAGAAAATTTTGGAATGTGCAGGTGTATTTTTCTGTAACAAACAACACAAATAGGGGCAAATCATCATCTAGGCAACTCTCCTCAATGACTTCACTATATTGACACTTCACTTTTTCTAAATATTTACAACATTCTTTCAGGGTTCAGATAGCACTTCTGATCAGGTTAGCTATTTAATGGGGAGGGTTGGAGCAGAGTAAGTCTGTGCTAGCTCTTGCCTCTGCAGTGGGGTTCGGGGAGTGGAGTGGAAGACACAGCTATGCCAACTCAGTGGCAAACAGAGCTACTACTGCCAGGTAAGAGGGCTTTTTCAAAAGATTCTAGCCAGCTGAACTAAGGCTGTTCAAATACACAACACAGCATTGGCCATCACAGAAATAGCTGCAGTAATGGTGAATTAATCCACTTTTGCACAGAATGCCCTCAGCATAACACCCAACAGCTACTCCATTGTAGTTTCCCAGTGCTTGTGTGAAGCAAAGGTCTGTTGACCTCATCATGGTGCTAAGTAATTTTTGGTTGAATCAGGAATTTAAACCAAGATGAATCCCAAGCTCAATGACCTATTTGTTCACTAGCCATAGCTCTTTTCTATTTTCATTTTCCAGCTAAGAAAAGGGAAGTACATCATAGAGTCAAGTAAGTCTATATATTAGGTGCATAGAGTTCAGGCAAATAACCTGTCCTTTAGTGTTTAGTCTTAGTGAGACAAACACAACTAATCTGTAACATGGTCACCTCTTAGCAAAAAATCTTACCTGTCTTGGAGGGACTTTTCCCATTTAGTTACAGTTCTTTTCAAGAGGGCATCTTCTACCTGCTTCATCTTCCCTTCATCAGGCAAAACAAACAATGCTGCAGCACCTCCATTGTAAGGTATTTGAACCAGCCAACAGGACAGCTCTTCATCAAAGTAATTTCTGTAGTAACCCTTTCGATACATCATGTCAACTTTTATAGATGTATTCTGATCCACAAAAAAGTCCTCCTGTTTTGTCAGTGCTGTACTGAAGGGTTTCTCCCAATGGGCTTATGAAAAAAAGAAAATATATTCAGTGGAGTACAAAGAGGAATGGTGACAGTGAATAAAAGAGGACCTAGTTCCACAGCCTTCCTTTCATTAGAGTAAATATCCTTTCCATGTTACTGCATCCTCAGGTGTTACAGCATTGTATATATATATTTTTTGGTGCTTAAAGACAATCACAGACAGATGATACTGAAAACACCATCTTTCACTACAGCATGAGTCTATGAACACATGACAAAATTAACCAAATTCAATAAAGTTATTGATGTAAAATTTCATTAAAGCAGGCAAGGACATATTTTTACTTGCAACAAATATGCATGAGTTTATACTGATACCTTGCAGGTATTGAACATGATTTCCTCTATTTAAATTTTTTTTCCTTTTCATTCTCTGTAATAAGCATTATCTTTGCACCCTTTGATGTATCTTACCTTTAAAGAAGACATAGTTAATGAGAACTATTGCAGTCAGAGGATCAAGATTTTCCACTAGTTTAACAATTTTCCCATTTGTCTTTTCCTCAATATAACTGTTGATCTGACTCTCAGCACCAACAGAGTTGTTAAAGTCAGTAGAAAAGACTTCAGATTCGTAAAAGCTTTTGACATCATCCAAGAACTTCTGTAGTGGTTTTAGTGTCTCTTCTATGAAAAGGGCATTGCCCAGGCTCAGCTGGAACTCACTATCTGAACGGTTCAGCATGTGGAGGAGTTGGCAAAAACCTTCATGTATTTCCTGCTCCTGAGTCTTTTTCAGGTTAAAGGCAAGCCCTTCCAAAATCTGTGTCAGTGTCACAGCCTTGGCACCAAGTGCCAGCATTGCAAAGGAAGTAGAGATGCTTATGGGTGAAAAGAAAATATTTTTGTCTGTTGCTTCAGATGCAACCAGCTTATAAAAGGAAAATGCAAAGTCAGCGTTGCTGAAAACTAGCTTGACAAAGGTTTTGTTCTTAAGTGGAGAAGCTTCTTCCCACTGAGAACCATGTCCTGGATAATATGTCCCTTTAACATCATCCTGCTTATTACGGTAGCGAGGATGCTGATGACGCAGGGCAACAGTATGCAAACCAACTAGCAATAGACACAAGGAGAAAGTGGTCTTCATTTTGCTTTCAGCTGTTTCTGCAAAAGAAATAGACATGCAAAACATGTCATGGAAACAAATTTGTTCATACTGTGTGCTCCAGTAAAGTAAAATGATGCTCTCAGAATAGACCTCTTCTCCAAAGTCCCCCACACTTATAATTCACATTTCTGATGTGTGTCAGTGTTCAATACACCTCTGCTATTAATAAATATAGTCTAGTTATCTTTCAAAAGAGGTAATTTAAAACTTTTAAAAGTTTATTAACTTTAATATTAGCATATTCTTTTAAAATTTGTAAATAACTGGAAGCTTATGACATTTTTCTAACAGTAATTGGCATGAGTTGGTTTTGTACGCTGTACTGCACGAAGGGTACTGCAGCTCTGTTAGCCTTCCTCAATTCATCAAATAATTACAGAATTTAATCTGTGTTAAACAAAAATGTGATATAAGCATAGCTCATACTATCCAGAACCAAAATTACAAAATACTCTTACAGTTTCTTCAAAGGTAAAAGGCTAGATGACTGGTCTTTCTGGTATAAAAATCTATGGCCATTTCTATTGTTTCCAAACCAAATTTTTACTTTATTATATGAAGTATCTTCTTTTGCATTGGTTCTTTCTGGCTTTTGAAATTTATTGATTTTTTTCATAAGATATATATTCCATATTTACATGTACAAAAGCACACTCCCAGGCAATGACTGCCCCCAACATCAAATGTAAGAGATGCAAAGAAAAACTAAAAGGGTACTTACATTGCTACAGTCTGGTCTTGTCTGCTCATTCTTACCTTCAGTACCATTAAACAGAGTTAATCAGAGCACTCCATTAATCATTAATTAGTTCAAATAAAAGCTGCCAGTGAGAATGCACAACAAGCAGTAATGACATTGGATATTTTGGACAATTTTTCCAACCCAGACAAATGCTAACAGTGCATGGGTTATGGGGCTGTAGACAAGAAGGACTGGAGCAGAGACTGTGTCTCTGTTGCTTCCATGCTCGCAGACTGACAGGAGGGACCTGCTGCTGTGGGTGTTTGGCAAGAGAGCCTCAGCCATACCTTTCATGGCTGGAGCTGAAAGCTGTGCCTTGGTGTGAGGGCCACCCCTTGCTTGGGTCTGAGCCAGCACCACTCACAACGCATCACAGTGTCCCTGCCAGAACGTCCTCTTGGATTCATCCTGGGGGCACTGCCTCTCTGGCAGGATTTCAAAACAGGGTTGGATTTAGAAAGTCCTTCTTCCTTACTATATACCTCAGTCACAACCTTCAACACCATGTTTGATGGTTTTGGGGATTTTCTTATGCAGAGCAGACTCTGTGCGATTGGTGAACAGACTCCAAGTTTCTTAGGAGAATAACATGTGACATTATCACTCTAGCAGGTATTTACAACCAATAAAGTTGTTTACTTGCTGCTATTGGCCATCACCTGTGACTGTGTATTTGGGGAACTGGGGAAGAGTTTTCACCTGGCTTTGTAGAAAATATACAACAAAACCACTTCTGCTGAGAAGCAGCACTGACTGCAAAAAGAAACATGTGGTCAGAAACAGATATCTTGTTTCCTTGGGTTAATCTTCTGGATCATATGCAGCTGAAATGGACACCAGGAGGACACAGAATAGGCTGCCAATTCACCTTTCATCCAGTGCTAAAGAAGACATGCTGGCATCACTGGATGATATTCAGGGTTTAATATAATATATGAGCAAATCACTGAAGGAGAAACTAAGGCAGAAAATAAACTTTTTTAAACAGACCTAGTTGCCAACATGTCCCTCTCTGCAAGTTCCCAAGCATTTGGTTTCTGAGCGGGAGCTCCAGACTATATCAGATATTGAAATGCCCCATGTGAGGTATTCAGCATCTCTGAATGAAAGCACACTGGTGGGGAGCTGAGCTTGGGAAGCTGAGGCAATGCTGGAAAGGGAACTGGATTTTCTTAATCTCAAATCAAGGCTCTTGTCCTGTGGTTGTTTTGTATGGCTGCAGAGTCAAGCAGCAAACAGGACAGGGCATACCCTTTTCTTTTTGAATTCAGCAGTGTTAATCTTTCTGCATACTAACCTAGGTGCTGGAACACCTGACCACTTGATCTGGTTTCAAGACCCTCAAACCATTCTACTTGAGACCATCAGACCCACGTCATCCACTTGGGTCATATGTGGGCTGCAAGAGGTTGATGAGGAAGGGAGGGGAAAGGCCATTCACAGCTTTCCTTCTGAGGGTCTTCTGCTTAAAGATCAAATAAAATAGAAAACTACTTATGTGTAGATATATGTGTAGATAATTTTGCATTAATAACTGTATGTGTTTTCACCTGTCTGTGAAAGACATGTACGCGAATACTCTGAGTATTCATAGGAGTGGAAAAAGATAATCCAGTAAGTGTGATGTGTTAATGTAATAATACATGCACAGGTCTGGCAGACAGGAATCTTGGGTTGCCCTCTGAGAACAATTCAAATAGAAGAAAAAACAAAGGCCCTAGGAATTGTTTCTGAAGTTGATAACTGATTGATGAAGATGTAGAATTGTTTCTAATTCTAGTCTTGGAGTGTGTGAGTAGTTCTGTTAAAGAGAACCATTACCTCTGTTAAATCTGAACAGAATCTGTGGCTAATAATATGTAGCATAATAAATATGTTATGATTTGAACTGAAAAAAACCCCCATCTCAAATTGCTTGTGATATTTTGATAACATATAAATAACATTATTTGATATATGATAATATATAAATAATATAACATATAAAAAACAACCTCAAAAAAATTTTAAGAACTTTGAAGAATTAAACATTTGGTAGATTTTATACACAACTGTTTTAAACTTTTTTTTCTAAAAGCTGGTAAAAATTAGGGTGCTCTTTTCCATCAAGCTATGAAGTAAGGTAAAGGGGCATTTTCTTTTCTGATGAACAGATTGTCTGAGAGAGTTAATATCTCTCAGCCTGATTGTTTACAGCCTAATCAACTTATTAAATTTTCTTACTTTTATTCATTTTATAATTTCATTTACATCTGAAAGTGATTCTCAGGTTTAAAATATTTTTATATCACTTAATATTAGAATGGGAAAAAATTCAAATTGCACTTGTCCCTCACACATGGAGAACACTTTCTGGGGAGAGTGCTAATGTAGTAGAAGGACACAGCACATTGTTTTCTGGAGCCCTTAATAGGGAGTCTGTCCATCTAACCTGGGTAAAGACAGGTACCTTCCAACCTTTCCTATTATATTAGCTCAATTGTCCTTCACTAGGAAAAGCCTAAGGGTCACAGTGCAAGAGATGGTTGATAGGTCAAGGGCTTTTTTTAATCTGTCTCTTTGGTTTGGTCCTAAATATTCTCCACAAAAAGTGCTCTCAGCCCAGGTTTGTCATTCAGGGGAACACCAGGAGGAGATGCATGAAGAACAAAGACAAGTTGCTTCACCCTTTATCATCCTCACAGCATTTTAAATGCAAAACTTAATCCCTTTTTCCTTGTGTCAAAAAAAGCATTTACAATGGAAGATGAACTTATAGTGGAGGAACCCCCATACTCTCTCCTGTAAGTTCCCATTCCCAAATCTTCCCCATTCCCCATCTGCCTCCAACCAAGAGCCCTGCATTTGCACCTTGGTCCTGCTTTTCCTCGGTCCACCAGCAGTCTGGGCTTCCTGAAAAAGGTTGCTTAGCAGGATTTACTCCTGTGAAATATATAACAGACACAACATAAAATGGAAAAGCAGTGTATGCAATATCTACCCAGGAAGTTTACAGTTTGTAGGCTGCATTGTGGATAAAGGTAGAGTTAAAAAAAAAAAAAAGCCATGCTGATCATAGGGAAGTTGTGTCAGGAACACATGAGGAGCAAGTAGTGTGCTTGTGCACCTTTGGAATTGCAGCATCACCCTGCAATGTGCCACTCCACATGCACTGCCTGTGTGTGCAGAACTATCTCTTTTTATTGGCATAGAACCTTGCTCCAACGTGCTTCTTGTGATGGTCTGTAGCTCTGGCATCAGATCTGATAATGGAACACAGTCTCCCTTTGCCCAGTCTCTGCTACAAATAAGTTTTTCCTTCTTTATGCCTGCTAAGTTGTCTCTTTTCAAGGCTGAAACTCTTTCACTTCTAACAGGAGCTGCTCCAGACCTTAGATTAGCCTTACATTTTTTTCTGAAGATTTAATAGTTCTCTGTTAGTATAGGACCATGTGTGGATGGCCTAGAGATTTAGATAATTTGCTATGTGATTTGTTGTTTTTTTTCTTTCCTAGTAAGTTCTAATATTTAATTTGTCTTCTTTTCCACTCCTGAGCTGATCTGTGTATGCACTACCACCAGAACACCAAACCATCAATCCTGTGTGACAGCAGTCAGGTGCACCATTTTGCCAAACCTGCAGCTAAAACTTAGCAAGAAAATTAAAGTCCCTATTGACACAATAACAACCCAGAAAGATGCTATTGTTTCTGGTTTGAAAATGAGCCAGTATTTGTCAGGTCCATTCCTTTACTTTACCAGGAGATGGTGGCACAGGGCTCCTTTTCCTATAATCCCCAGAACTTGAGGTTCCATGTGTAACAGTTCTACTTGCAGATAACAATGTAAAAGAATCACACTGAAAGGTTGGCATCTTGCAAGGATCTCACTCATAGCTGGTATACTGAAATAATTACTTTTTACTAGTGGAATTTGCCCTATGGACCTTTTTCTCCTGGTGTAAAAGAGCCCTTTTTATGTCAACAACTTTTAGAATGACAAGTTCACCAGAATATAAAAGTTCCTATTTTGAAATGAAATTGTCTACCCCGAGAAACCTCTTGGTGCTAAATTAAATTTAAATTGATGTCTTAGGTTCTATATTTTTGTGGTGCAAACCTGGTCTTAATAAAGCACTAGGAAAATTCCTTATGTAGATATTTTGGAATTACCCTTAAAATTTATTGCTTCCAAAGGCAGATAGAAAGTATTAGGGCTAATCTTTGCAAAGTGTTACCATTTGTTATTGTACAGTAGATTAATATTGTTTGCCTTAGTGACGAAACAGAAGGAAGATCAACTAGCTGAATAAATATATTCAGTGAAATGGAGTTTAATGTATGATTCTATTACTGATTTCCCTTTTCTTAAACAAGTCTTTGGCACCCTAATATTTTAGGATTTTGAGGATTCTGACAGATCAGAGATGGTGCAGCAACTCTCTTCCCAGTTTCAATGGAGGCAAAATATGAGACTATGTGGTTGCCAGCGATAAATACAGTTCCATTTCCACCAATGACTTACATTATCACGGCTCCACAGGACGCTTTGGGATCTAGGATGTACCTACAGGGGCTTTCTGCCATGGCTGCTGCACCATCTTTCCCAGCCTGCCAATCTAAGAGTGTACAGGGGTGCTGGAGCAGATCTGCTTCTGTTAGATGTCTCATCTTGGTCACCTTTGGTACCACCATGAATATGTCAGGTCTGTGGCACACAGCACAATCACAGGCATGAGGTGGTAATCTTTGGGTGGGCCACTGAGGCACAAAATGTCTTCAAATTTTACCTATAAAATTAACCAAGAGACACAGCTCTCATTTGAAAGATAGAGGAACAGAAAATAAATTCTAGTAACCATCCCTTGAATGTGTAAGTTATTGTATGGGTTTTTTGATGGCTGGAGAATCTGCATCTGCAAGAGCAGCAAACCTAACATCATTCATACACATTTTAGAACCTATTGCATCCTTCATCTCTGTGCACAAATGTTTTCTCCTGCTATGAGGTTCTTTCCTGGCTGCAACCATCTTATGATGACTACAACATGTAGGTTGGACTCGATAATCTTGGATGTCTTTTCCAGCCTTAATGATTCTGTGGTCTTGTTTTATACTGATTTTTCATTTCAAACCTCTTCCTTCATCAGACCATCTTCCATGTCGTCTGTTTTTCCTACATGAAACATAGTAAACAATGTAGTAACTTTTCCTTAATAAGATATTTGCTCAAGTCACACAGTCTTCTTCAGACCTTCCATATAAGAATCACATTGCTATTAACAGTTTTCCAATGATGAAGAATATATTCTTGTTTGTAAAGTAATAAATCATAAGAACTTTTTTCCAGATGGCTTATGGAAAAGAAACTCAATGCAACAAAAAATTAGAGAAATAAAGACAGTATGATTAAGGTTTATTCACTTGTAATAAATTCATCTCCAGCACTAGAACTGAACTGTACTTTCATCACTGAAATTCTTTTTTTGCAACAAACCACCAAAGTAATTTCCAGCAACATCAGCAGAGTTTGTGTGACCAGAGTGTTGTCATATCAAGGACATTTACATGAAATGGATGAATTATAGTTTTCTTCAAAATTTTTAGTTTGAGGAAAGTACAATTACCAAATTATTTTAAATGGATTCACTGTTATACCTGGGACTGGGAACTTAATGAAGGATCTTTCCAGATTGGTCTTTGGTGGCTAACAGTTTAAAGGGAATGAATGATATCATATATATGCTGTGTTTACCTCTAATGAAAGCAGTCCCATGTGGGTAAGGGCAAATGTGCAGTACCCAACCAGGACTGTAGTATGGATGGGTAAGATTTGAAGGGTGTGTTACTGGACTCAGAGATACATAGCCCGCTGTAGTTTTCATGCTTTTTTGCTCTTGATAATTTGCACTTTTCTAACTCCCACTGCAGTTTCCAAGCAAAACACACATTTAAGAATGTTTGTGTTTCTCTTGCACTTTTTCCGTGACTGGAAATTCTATTGCCTCTGTTCTTTAGAGACATGATTTGAATGCTGGATTAGGGATTAACTCTGTTTGAGGCTTTTTTTCCTACGTTCCAAACTACCAAGACTCATGTCAAAGATGAGTAGCTGGGTTCTCAGAATCCCAGTTCAAAACCTACCCTGCCTGGGAACTATCACAATCTGGTTTTAAGAGCTTAGTGATTCTCTGCTTGGAATTAGTGTGAGTACAAGGAAAATGCCTGCAGCTTTTGTTGCACTGAATCTATGGAAACATTTAGTATAGGGTTGGCTTACAACCTGTCCAAATTCTCATGTCCTTGCAATAATAACAGTGATCACAGGCTGTGCAGATGACTTGACTGTGGGGAGAGGGTGGATGTCCTCATTCAAGGCATTCCAGATACCAGGGCTGAGACTCAAATTGCATAGCTGGCAACAAGAAAGTCCAAAGTACTGGTAGCATCTGAACAGCAGAGTTTATGTGAGCAACTGGTGCTTCTGTAACCATCCAAGTGCTCTGTGCCTTTTGGCGTTGTCAGCACCTCTCCTCACTGCTGAAAGGAACACACACTGCAGTGGCCCTGCAATTCCACTGCTTCATGTTTTGTAACAGCATCCTACATGGACTCTGCCATGTGGCAAAGCAAACAGTGTTTCTGACAGAAGATATCCTGCCATCAAGCAGAGTCCCACTGGACCATAAACAAGGTCAGACAGAACAAACTCAGAGTCTCCTGCACGGCTCACAGGCTGCCAGGAGAAGTTTGTCACTCTGCTCTGCTGGGGCACAGCTAGGCTGCCTTCCAGGGGCCCAGCCCTGTGGGTCTATCTTGCCTCACAGGGGTTCTCAGCTGAGCTAAACTCTCTCTAGGTAAGTCCTTCTCCTCCTAACTTCCTGTAAGTGTGTCAGATCATGTCTCACAGACCCCCAGCAGGCCATTTATGTTGGATGTTTATGATAGGTGTTCACATGCTTCACTGTAAGCTGTATTATCCCCTTCTGCTGATTGCCACTGCAGGAAGTCAGGTGGATTAGGTTATAAAGGTTACAACCTTTAGCTTATAAAGAATGTCTAGCTTTCTTTCAGGGCTTAATTTGGATTCAGCTGCCCCATAAGCTGAGAGAATGCATGGGTGGGAATTGTAGAGGAAGAAAAACCATCTCCAGATGAATGAGAGACACCATAAAACACGTGTTTACCACAGATTAAATACACAGTTCCTAAATGAAAATTTTAGTTATTTATGTCTATCAGAATCCTTCCTTTTTTTGTCTACATTTAATAACACTAATATAATGAAGAGGGTTCCCTATCACATATTAAGACAAAAGAAAGCTGCAAGGACAAGTGATGCAAAGTAGACCAAGACGGATTTTCTTGGAATTAGGAAAAAATACTCCATCTCCCTACACAAGCTTTCCAGAATTGTCCAGTTCCTACAGAATATTATCAGAACTGTGCTGAGAATAACATCGGTGAGGTATGTTCAGTGCCCAGGCTCTATAGACCTTCATACTGTGAACTGTAGGCATTTTTCTGCTTTTGGTGTATGTTTGGCACAAGATGTCTTAGTTTCCCGTCCCCTACATATCCCCTTCTTCCAGAGGGATTTAGGCTGATCCCTCTTTCTACCCCCGGTCCCTTCCACAATTCAGGTCAACCTGCTGGTCTGGAGCATGAAGTTGCTCATCTGGAGGAAAACTGTAGAGATGACCCACAGCTTGGTAAGTAACTCCCAAATCAGAATTCAGAGGTATCTATTCCATTTTATACTTCTGCTAGTAGCAGCCATTTTTCACAGACCAGTAGGGAAACTACCAATGCAGCTGTTGTTGTGCCATCTCAAACCCAAAGGCCTGGGAGATAGATGGGGAAGGACATTGCTCTCTGTGTGATTTCCCAAAGCTTTTGCTCTATCCTAGCAGCAATGGGATTTTTCCTAACTTCTTTCCCTTTAGCAACAAGCCAACAACCTGTTTTTCTGCCACCACACTCTGATAAAAATCTTGTGTCTCTGATAAAAATCTCACCATCCTACCTTCTAATCAGTCCTGGTGCACAGATTTATCGGGATGGGATCTCACGGGAGCTGCTGCCAGCTCCTGTTGAGTTTGTGTAGGCACTGCAGAGCAGGCTGCCTCACACCATGGCAAGTTCTCATTGATCTTAACTCTGTAAAAGCCACTGCTTTGCACAGAGGCGTGGTGTCTCTCATCCCCTGGGTGATGTCATCCTGCCTCATGAGGAGCAAGAGCTCAGGGCTTCCACTGAGTTCTTGCCACTTGGAGCAAGGGGACTCACACAAGGCAGCAATCCCCAAGTCCCCCTGAGTCAGAAGCACAGCTCCCCATGCACCAACCCAATCCTACAAACACCAACGGACCCCCTGTAAAACACCTCTGTGTAAGGTGGGCCAAGTTTGGGAGAACAGGTCAGAAGGCCAGAGGGATGTCAGGGATGGGGAACTCATTAATTTGGGGCTTGCACTACCTTTGCAGTGCTCAAACCAGACTGCCAGGATCACTGTAGAAATGAGCAGTGTACATTCAGAAGCCTCATCTTCCTAGGGATGGGGACTCGACTTGCAAAAATATATCCAGGATCAATATGCAAAGCATGAGAGTAGTGCAGTGAGATAGAAGCTGTCAAAATTAGCCTCACCTTGAGGCAGCAGCTGTGCAATGGCACCTCAAGGTTTTCTGCAGAGTTTGGCCCCAGTACTCCACTGCAATAAGAGTGGGTGATCTACTGACCCACAACAGCAAGAAAGTGTTTAGGTATTTCTTGAAAACAGATTTTACTCAATTAGGCACATAAAGAGAGAATTGCAATCATGAAGAATTGCAATTTCCATATGAGAAAAGCTGCACTCATTTAACAGCTTTAAGATATATTTTACTGATATCTGCTATGTTAGTAAGAATGACTAAAGATGTTTGTTGTTTTTAAGAGATGTATATAATGGTAAAAGAGACTGGAGTAATTCCTTAAGTGATATATTTAAATTACATTATATATTTTACTGATCATCCACAGCTGATCTATTATTCATGAATGATGTTTTTTCACAGACAATTCTTTAACAGTTTATGCTATGCCTAATGTTACTGTCTCTTAAAGTTTTTTGCCAGCCTTGTGGAGTGCAAAGAGGCACTTGCAATAAGAACTACATCAGAATAAGTCTATTGTTTTAGGGATTATTCTCTTTCTTTTTTGTCAATGATTTCTTAAGATGTCCTAGGCAAAGAGCTGGAACATGTGAAAAAGAACAGGTTCATTGAGGATAACCTTTATTCCCTTCTCAAATATGTTACCACAGAGGTGTTACTATCATTCCTGACTGGCTCAGCCTTCAGCAGCAGCAGATCCATCTTGGAGCGGGCTGGCATTGACTGTCTGATATGAGGGAAGCTTCTGGCAGTTTCTTATTGAAGCCACCCCTATAGGCACCCTACAGGCCCCCACTACCAAAACCTTGCCATGCAAACCCAATACAATTATTCAACTGGGGAAAATGTTATATTTTAAAAGTGTCAGTTTATGGTGATTTTTTACAATTTTTTAAAATTAATTTGATAAGAAAATTTCTCATTTACTTCTGAATATCCCTCAATCAGAGACTAGTTAGCAGCACTACCTAGCCAAAACTGCAAACACTGTAGCCATTATAACCCGTAGCCAAGATCAGTGTGCCGAATAACCCAGCGATTACTCCTTAGTAGGATCAACGATTTTCCCCATGAAAAGCGTGGTGCCAGTTTGTTTGTCAGAGATCAAAATAAGGAAAGGCCTGTTGAATTTGATGGTAGGAGTATAGGAAAGTCTGGTAAAGATTATGGCAGTGGCTCCTGCAGCTTCAGTTCCAGCCTCATCAACTTCCAGCAAGGCCTTGTGAACTGCCTGCACAGAATAGGAGAAAACACTGGTTTATATACGGGACAGGAAGCAGGAGTAAAATAAATTATCTTCTTATGGAACATTTAGGAGAAGAAAGGTGTAATAAATCCAGTAGATGAAATTTTATTGTATTATAAATCCCCAACAGTTTGAAAGAGGAGTATTTTATATGCCAGGACTGAGCAAGGAGGGCCAAAAATTAGGGTGGACACACTGAAATGCATTCTCAGCAGTGCTGAGTAGAGTGGGATAAAAATACCCCATGTACAAGCTAGTGTATTTTCTTAGATGGTTTGGACTTCTACTAGCAACAATTTCTCTTATTTCAAGGTTAGTTAAAACTGTTTTTTAAATGCTAATATGGGGCAGTGTTTGGCATCTTTAGCACTAAATCATAGCTCAAACTGACATGGTCAAATTCTGCAATTGCAAACTAGAGATTTCCTGAAAACTTTGGGAATGTTAAAAATTGAGGTGTTAATCAAGGCAAATATCATAATAAACTCCTCATTTGTAATTTACAAATGACACAACTTCATTTAAACTATTATATTTCAGAGCAAATAAGTTATTTAAAATATTGTCCAATTCCTCTATGTATTTAATATCCAGCTTTTTAATTAGAACATTAATGTAATAAAAAAATGAGCTGGCAGATTCTTTCTGTAAAAAAGCGCAGTTACTGAGCTAGCCCCTACACATCATTGTAAAGTCTTTAAAAATCCCAAACACAACTGATCAAAACAACCAACTACCATCCCATTACCAGCTCTGACTACTTACTTGTGAAACCTTGAGATTGTGGTTGCCACTAATTCCAGACAGATCAGCATTATCTGAGAACACTTCAGTAATACCCATTTGCTCAAACAGGGTTTTAACATCGTAAGACCCACTAATAGAAAACTTTGGTAACTGCAGTTTTAATCTCCTGTTGATCAAAGAAAACAAAAGAGCAGTGAGCCCTTGCAGCCTCTTCACAGCCAACAGGGTGTACGCAACTCGGCAACCCTTGAAAGCATTCTTTTGATTGCAAATTTGTTTGATGGTAGTCTTTGTATTCCTCGAGCAATTTTGGCTTCCTGAGAGATGCACCATCTTCTAGTATTTGCATTGTCTATTTGATTTTGGGAAAATAACCAAATTTGTTCATTGTCGCTCTTTCATGCCAGTGCCACATGAGCAGCTAGTAGAGTATTTTTGGCTAAAGGGTTAGAGACTATGCAGACAGTGGTCTGATGGACAGTGGAAAGCCTAAAGTAAGGGAAAAGGAGGATAAAATCTAAGGCATGGTGAAGGAAATCAATTATGTTAACACCATGAAAGAAGAGGTAAGGAGTCAAAAAGTAGCCAAGCAAGTTTTGAGGCAGCTGTTACAATGCTGTGACCCTATCTGTCAGGTCACAGAGCCTGCAGTTTCTTAGTGATTGTACTCTGCTTTGACTCATTTGGGGAATAGCTTAAAACTTCCCTTTATGAAATCAGGACATTATGTCCAGTAGGAAGTGATCTGAAATTGGCATTTTCCCTTGACATGAGTGATGTGTGCTCAACCATATACTTAGAGTTACCTGGTCACAAGTTTGCTATCCCATTTACAAACTGTTTCCTTGGAAAGAGCATCTTCCACTTGCTTCATCTTTCCATCATCAGGCAGAATAAGCAGTGCTCGTGCAGTGCCCTGGTAAGGCAGTTCTACCACCACACAGGAGAGATCGTGGTCGTAGTAAAAGGTTGAGATACCATCACGCTGCATCATGTTGACTCTAACAGATGCATTTGGGTTCACAAAAAAATCATCCTCATATGTATGCAAAGGATCAAAAGACTTTTCCCAGGCAGCTAATGGGGAAAAAGAGATGTTGTTGCACTCAAATGTGAAGATCATGAAGAATGGCTTATCTAAATTAGACCAGCTTTAATGTAGGACACTGGAGGTGTATTGATGGGAGAAGAGGCTCACTAAACCACTTCAACCTCCTTCATAACACACAATAAAACATTCTAGCTGTGCAGTAAGCACATCATATTTTGTGTGCACACGTCATATCTTGCTGAAGAACAACCAGAGACTGATGACCAGTTGAGAGTCCTTCTTTGACTGTAAGCCTACCTAATGCCTTTCATGCCATTAAAAGCAATCCCTTAAGCATTCATCCCAGGACCTTCTTGTACCTTTTTTGTTAGCTGTACCCTATGCAAGCTGACTGCACTCGGCCTGGTATAGAATTCTGCAATTAAAAAGTCCTAACATTTGAGCAAGGCTCCAGTAGCACAGGCCCCCAAGATGCTATGTCCCAGATTTTCATGCAGAGCACGTAGTAGATCTACCATAAAACTGGGGTCCCTGTGCAAGGATGTCAGTTCACCAAGTCTGACTGGTGTGTACAGTCAGCATAGAGATCTTGGACACATCTTCAGTCATTATGGCCTCAATCAGTGAGACTATGTGGAGCCCTGTCTATGAGGCATCCACTAGGGTAGAATTTTTCTGTCACAGCTTTCAAGCAAATTGAGTCAAAACCAAGAAATCAGTATTTCTCAACAATCAGATACTCTACTTTTGGCCAGATATAATCTTTACTTGAAAGGTCCTGCACAGTTTAGCTATTTTCTAAATTGTCATTGATAAATAAATTATCAGAAGTTCCCTAAAATTTTTATTTTGTATCAAAACTATCTATTGAAATATTATGTTAAGTATCTTACCTTTAAAGTAAATATAGTTAACAAGAACCAGTACAGTACTTGGATCAAGATGATCAACTAATTCAGGAATTTTCCCCTTGGTTTTCTCCTCTACATATTTATTGATTTGCCTTGTAGCTTCTTCTGGTTTATGAAAATCACTGGAGAAAAAATCTGCATTATAAAATTTTTTAGTATTTTGCGAAAATGACTCCTGTGGTTCATACCCAGTAGCTGTAAAAAGGGCATTCCCTATATTTAATGTGATATTAACATCAGCACAGTTCAGTACTGACAAAACTTTGTGAAAACTTTCATGTACATCATTTATGCGAGTCTCAGTTAGGTCATCAAAGCCCAGTCCTTCAAAAATCTGAGACAGAGTGGTTGATTTAGCACCAACAGCCAGCATGGCAAAGGCAGTTGAAATGCTCACAGGAGAAAAGAACACGTTTTTATCAGCTTCTTTTAATGAAGCCTGCTTGTAAAACCTAAATACAAAATCTGCATAGTTAGAGCCTTTCTTGTCACAGCTATATGTTAATAAATTTTCTCTTCCATCCTGCAGATTGGTATTGTTGACTTCATGGCAAATGTCTTCAGGGCAGCAATGGGTTACAGCACAAAGAACAGCAAGGAGTAAACACAGGCACAGGAGACACTTCATCTTCTTTTCAAATTATTCTGTCACAAAATAAACAGTCATTAAATGAGCAGATGGTAATGATGTGCTTGGTAGTAAGAAATAATGAATAGTTTGTTAGCATAAATGTTGCATAGTTCAACTGTAAATATCTATGTACGTAGCAAGCTTAAAGTTCTCATGGGCACTATGTCAAATTTATTTAACAAATTCTAATAAGTTATAGACTAAAATGTCAGGGATAAGAAAGTCATAATACTCCATGGTAACTGCTCTGAAAGAACAATACTTTTTTCCATTGGCAATGAAAACATCAAGCTGCGGTCCATAATAATCTTTCTTAACAATGACATTATCTTCCCATAACACTGTCTTCTGTAGGGTGCATCTAAACAAACAAGTTATTGTAAGGTAAGACAGGGTGTGGATTCCAGAGACATAAAATACTCCACAGAACCTGCCCAAAAGCAATTTGATATATGTAAGGAAATGTGAGGCAGCTCACTAGTCACTGGGACTGAGTAAATTCCCTCACTTTCCTCAGGCAGCAGCACATGGACAGAGAGCTGTCATGGACTATTCTGTGCTTGTTAAATTCACACTCCTGTTTACTTCATGGTTACTTACTTACATGACTAGTTACTGGCCAAAACTGATAAGTGATGGAAGAAGGCCAGCTACATGAACTTCAAAGCAAAAGCCTGGAGCATCCTGTGCCATGACAGCAGTGCACAGAGAGAGGTGGGCACAATGACATGTGGCAAGCAGCAGGTTTGCATCACATAATGAGGTGCATGTTTGGAATGAAGGAATCCTCCTTTTGGGGGAGCTGCAGCGAGTGTTTGTAATTTCTTAAATGGTGGTGTGCCTCTCACCATGGGTTAACCTGCATGGGATGTGGGAAGGACCTAGATCAAAGAGGGAGAGAAATACTCATCCCATTTGGACATCAAAGGACACAGATTAATTCCCTTGGAGATAACAAGTTTCGTCATTATGCTTGTTCTCCTAAAGCTGACATGATATACTTCACATGAACCACCTGCTCTCCACGAGCTGGACCAAATCTCTGGTGTACTGAATTCTGTTCCCTGCTGGGGAGATATCTCATGTAAACCCTCCTCAGAATTGTAACAAGCTATCAATGAAAATAAGCTTTTTGTCCTCATGTATTCAGCGTGAAAACATTTCTAGAACTTTTCTACTGTCTTGAGTCCTCTTCTGGTTTCCAGCCAATACAGCCAATTTATATCCTTTTCTTTCAGGAATGTATTTTCCCATGTCTGTGGTAAAGTTCTCTTGGTCCTACATTCACTCCCAGCTGTGAAAGATGACTATATTTACTATATAACGATTTAGAGTTTCTGATGGCAGCCCAAGTTCAAGGATTCTTGGTGATTAAGCAGTTGTTTTATTTTTGTATTGATGGTCTTTCTTTTTTTTCACAGAAAACATATAGGTAGCTGTGTGTTCTCATATTTGCTAGGATCTGGGTGTAGTGAGTCTGCCTGAGATCAGCCAGGGCCCACTGCAGAGACCCACAGTAACAAATGGTAACAATAAACTTGAATTTCCTTAAAACAAAAGATGGAGTACGGCCCTAGATGGAAATACTATAAAACTATTTGCAGATAACTTTTAATCATAACTCTACCTTTTTCATAGTGAAAAAAAAAGGCAAAATCCAGTAAACCTGTATGCATTGTGGAAAAAAAGAAGAAATAATATAGTATGAAAGGTATTTCAAAAGTATTTGATGTTAAACATGTCATAGTCTGTTTTTCTCTAATTATTTGATATATTGGACACTTAAGTGAGAAAGAAAAAAATAATTTTACTTCCTATGTCTGTACAGAGCTTAGCCTAAATTTTAAAGAATTTCTGACACAGAGAGTATGGTTTGTGTTTCTTTTTTCTGCAACAAACTTATATTAGACATGTTTTTAATAGAGCTTAGCCTAAATTTTAAAGAATTTCTGACACAGAGAGTATGGTTTGTGTTTTTTTTTTTTCCTGCAGCAAACTTATATTAGGCATGTGTTTAACTTCTGCTGTAACAGATCAGTTAAAAAACTTCTCCTGGTATCATAACTTTCTACAGAAATCCAAATGAAGTGCTTCTATCAAAAGCTGGAAAACACTGAATATTGTCATCAAGTTTTCCTCACGTGCTATTCATTTATGAGATGAAAACCATGTTAATTTCAATATTTTGAGATTAGAAAATTTCTGACATCAATATTTTTGTTAACATTTCAAAGCTGAAGAAATTCTAAAGGCTTTGTTAAATCTGCAAGTACTTTTTATGCGAATTAGAAATTCAGTAAATAATTCTCTTCCACATATTAGTTTGCCTATGGGAGGAAAAGGGGCAATTAAATATAAATTGTGGCCTTCCACCTACCCCTACACTCACCCCAGTCCTAATTAGAGAGCCTGGCCTTAGCAATTCAATTGTTGCTTTATAAATTAAGTCACCAGAAGAGTTTTTAAATTGGGCTGGTTGTTCAGTCACTAGTGGGATTATACTAATTTTGAGTCACTGTGAAGGCTGTTTCCAACCTGAAAGGTGATTACATCAGTATTCTCTTTTAACGAGTACTTAATAAGTCACCATGACTTCAAAGGGGTTTTTAGTTTGATTTCAGTCTGAGCAAATTCCCCCAGAAGAGCAGGTCCCACTGATCCCTTGCCCATCTGCTTGGTTAATATTTCATTGCAACATCCACACAGAACCAAATCACAAACAGAAAAATGAAATTAACCTAATATTAAAATTCCACTGACTGCAGAAAGCATCCTCTTCAGCTCTCTAAAAACAAAAGTGTGTGAGTAGTACTTACAAAATCAGAAGCCCCGTTGCATTCAGATGACCATGCTGTTTTCCACGCTGCTACTTATACTGCTTCATCATCTTCTGCTTAATTAGAGATGTTAAACATTACACAGACCCGATAAAAATTAGAGCCAACCAAAATAAAGGAGGAAACAAAGCAAATATTGATGAAACAGGGTTCACAAGGACCATCTCTGTTATTCAGCCAAAGAAGATGACAATCTTCAGCCATTTCCATAGCAGCTGTGACATCCCCTCTGTTGCCTCTGACCATGCGGAGGAGCTTAAGGGCAAATGTTTGATTAGGACCCTACTGGAAACCAGGAGGTTGTTCCTGGAATCACTTGAAACAGGGACTAACTCTCGGTGCCAGAAGTCAGAACTTCTGTGTTGTGATGAAGTACACATGGAGCTGACAGCCACGTATCACATCAGGTTGGTGCTCTTCCAAAATCTACCCAGAGACAAATCTTCTGCATGATCCTCAGCCTGGATATGGATGATAAAGTAATTGCCTGTACCTTCTCACTCTGTAGCTTAATACCGCTGAGGGGGTATGTGACAAACACGTTTCCATGATAGATGTCCCACCCTGGCTGATGTGGTCTCTTCATCTTTCTCAGTTCTGTGTGCATCTCTGTTCCTGTCTTGGGCAGGAGTACAAGTGTTGGGAATACAAGAAGCAGGCTGTTTACTCCCACATGTTGGCGCACTGCGTATGCTCACCCACTTCTCATTCTCCTTGCCCTCTCACACACTTTTAAATTGTTCAAATGAAAACAAGTGCTGTTTGTTTCTATTACCTTTTTCCAATAGGACTGAAATGCTGACGGATCAGGATGACTGAATTTTTCCAGTTAACAATAAAGACCATGATTGAGCGGTGACATAAAATACATTTCCCCATTTGTGCTGACTCTTTTCTTTGTACTTGTTTACTCACGTGTGTAATTTTGTTGTTACAAACATAGATAAACATGGAGACAGAACATAGATTAACATTGTCTGGACACTCCCCTTCTTTGTTTTCCTCTATATTTCTTCCACTCTCCCCCTCCCCCCTTCCCTTTTTACTTGCTCCTTCTAACTCTGGCTGTAAAGATCAGAAACACAGAGATTATTTTACTCATCAAAGCCCAAGTGAATAACAGGTCATGGTGGTCAAGGACGAACTGTGTTACAAAATGGTTATAAGCCTCTTGTTTTCTCTTTCATTTGTCATGCCTTGTAATTACTGTTTTGTTTTTAATAATGTTAAGCTAAAGTTTAACAAGGCATTTCCTTACCATTTCATTATAGCAGCAGAAATAAGGTGCTACAGCAGATGGAAACTAAAAGGATGAGCAGACAGACGCACGCATGCCAGGTGCACCACGCACTGCCACAAGCTATTACAGTCCCGCCTCCCTGCTAACCACAGTTTCAACTCTAAGTCATGAAACCATGTTAATCAGCTTCATACTGATAATTTATCTCATGAACTAGATCTTTTGCTCTACCTTTTATTTTTTATAGGATTAAAAGTATAGAACGTGGAAATAACAAAATAGATGTGTTTTATTCCTTCTGATAATTAAAACCACGACAAAGTCTACATTGCCTGAGTCCATGTTACTGCTCTATAGTTCATGTAGGTCAGTTTCTATACCACCACCAGCTCACATTTTGATGTCTTTAGAAGAAATAGAGCCATATATTAATTTCATGCATTTGCTAATACCTTGAAACATCTTTCAGACTGTTTTGTTTTGAGTAGAACGTTCCAGAGCAAGTTTAAAGAGCTCTTAATTAACCATTAACTGGTATATTCAATCCCAAGAGAACCACTCAACTTGTCCAGTGCTCTTTTTATGCTTCTATAGGTAAGAAAATTAGAGTTTTTGTGTCAATTTAGCAACAATAAAACTCTTCTGGGATTATGGCTCACAAATCACAAGTTACTTAAAATATAAAAAAAAATTATACCTATAAATCTATTATGTAGTAACTTAAGCAAAGATATTTTAGTGTAAAGAATACAGACCACAAGCATATTGACAAAGCAGTAATTTGAAGGAAATGGAGTATGGAATTAGGAAGGAACTGGACACTGCCTTCCCTCCATTTCCTTGCTGATAGCCTTGAATTATGTCATAGTCTTTGGGAAGGATCAGGCACTCAGAGTGCAGGAAAATTGCTAAGATTGGAGATTTATGCATGTCTGGTAAACTATGTTTTTTCTACTCTGGATGAGGTATATAATGAATAATAAAGGACCAATCTGTTCATAGTGGTCATGCCATGCTTTCAATACCTCTTGGAAAATCTCCTCTACTGTCCTGTCAGAAAGACAAAATTCAGTAGTTTAGAAAGGGACTGTGAAATTAGGATGAAATATAGTCTATATATAGTGTAGAAAATTTGCACAAGGAGGGGTAAATTCTGCCAACAGAAATTTTTTCATTTGAATTAACATCATTGAATTAGCATCATTCATATGAACTAAGCATCATTCATATGAACTAAGTGGAGAAAAGGGACAAGAATTTAAAAAAATTACCAATGGCAATGACCAATAGTGAACAGTCATCATAATTTTTCAGTCGGAAAACCAATTTCAGTTGCAAATTCTACACTAAATGTAACAGGTGTGCTACATGTACGGTGCACCACTAACAACTGAACACCTGAATCCCCTATTCTGCTTTAGTGTGTGCGGGTTGGTGGGTATGACACGGGAACCATAATCTCCTATAAAAGGGGCAGGAGAGTGGGCAGATTGCTCTTACACTAGAAACCTTTATTTAGGCCCTAGGATCTTTCAAAAGAAGACTAACTTTTCATTCTTTCTACATGTAACAGCTTTACCATGGATTTTATTTTCAGATATGAGTATTACTGTAACACTGATATTAGTAATGAAAGAGCTACCAAGATTTTAATATCTGGGTGATTTCCATCTGGGATATTGTAAAAAAACAGTATACATTCTGTTTTGTGTTCTTTCTAACCCCCAAAATAGATGTCAAAATAATCTTATTGACCACAAAGATCTCCGACAATGTCTTTCATTGGCCAAGTACTGTTCAGGATCCTGAAATGATTTCAGATAGGGATGGACCACCTGATGAGAGAACCGCTGGACTGAAAATTCAGGATAGATGGCTATCTCTGTTGAGCAGCTCAGTTTTGGCCTTGGGAACATCACCAAAACTAATAGGCTTCAGTTTTCTCATTTTTAGGATAAAAATGACACATCTAACTTCCTCACTGAGATTAGATGATGTGACAATAAAAAATTACTTTCAAGGGTCTTGAGCATTACTTTATTCTTTATTGAGTTTAATAAAGACAAGATCATTTTTTATCAGTTTTATTCTATGACACCTTCCTTGGTAACAGTGATACACAATTTCAAAATCTCTGGTCTGCAGGATGCAGCTTTATACAGTTTCAAAATGGAACTTGAAAGTTTCCTCAATTGCAAGCTTCAATGAAAATTCCTATGGACTTTACAGAAAGTGTCTTCTTTCCTGGTAAGCTTAGCACTTATATTCAAGGGGTGTTAGTTATGAGGTACATTACAGCATGGGAATGGGTGATTAAGCTGTATTATTGCAAGTAGTGCACCTATATGCACCACATGACACAGCACAAGCCAATCCTTTTACCAGATATTTTTCTTTCATGTCTAGAAAATGCAAACATCTGTTGCCAAGCAGCTACAGCATAAGAATCTTATACAGGAAAATAGAGAAGGATAAAACCATTGTGCTCACTGAATTTTTTTTTGGCCTTTCAGTTTGACCCAAGCATCCTGCCAGCACTGATTGTTTCACCTGAACCTCTTCATCTATTGCCCATCCAGTATTGTGCTTTTAAAATCATATTATTTACCTGTGGTAAGGCACCTAACTCCTGCTCTGACCATGTAAGCTAAGAGAGGAAGGATGGTCAGTCTTCCTGGGTAGCTGTAAGCAGCCAAGAAGCTAAGTTTCTGTGATGTGAACCTGTGACTGAGCTGGGAAGGGAAGCAGAAACTCCCAAGTCCCAGCCCAGTGCTTTGTAACTACTGGTCTGTCCTTCTTTCCTAATAATGTTCTTGCGTTAAAGAAAGAAAGGAATTAATCAATTAATTATGGGTTTCCAACAGCAATATAGTACTTAAAATTTTAATAAATGTGTGTCTATACAACATGAAAATATACTTAACAAGAACCATCCCAATGAGTAATTCAAGACTTAAGCAACTAACATTATTCTGAAAGCCTTCATTAAAAAGTTCTTCTTCACCTTCCCATTTGGTCCACTGACCCTGCTATCTGGGACCATCTCATCTGAACTGCTTTCTTTACCTCCTTTGTTCTCCTGAGTAATACTGGATCAAAAGTCTACCTTTAATCACACCGCTGATCAAGTAAAGTTGGTCAAAGTGGATTGAAGTAAACAGTAATGACATTATTCTGTGACTCAGAAGTTCAGCTGTTCAAGCACACTATATGGATTTTGGCTAATGCTCAAAGAAAGGACACAGAAAGTGGTCTTGCAAGCCAGAGTAAATTTACCTTTTTTATTACACCTTGTCAGAACAGCTTTGTTGAAAATGAGGGTACAAACACAGGAATACACCGGGGAACAAATGCAGAGGGGAGGCAGGTTTCTATTTTATTTTGAATGGATATAGAGTAGATTAAATTTTGCTGTGGCCACTGCTTTTAACCATGCTGGGAGAACATTTAGACAAACACCACACAGCTTTTAAAAATCTTCTCTAGATCAATATGCAGACAAATTAAACAAAGCCATTTTTCTATATAACAACTATTACACAAGCATCTCGAATCTTACTTTTAACAGCAAAACTGTTGGAACTGTGACAAACCTTCCCTAATCCAAACTCGACAATACCCTGTCTAGTGTTGACTCCTACATGTTGATATCTCCTCTGACATTCTTTTCCTGCCTTTCATCACATCACACCCCACACAGACACTTGCAGACCACTCTCATCTTGGCACACCATTCCTCTCTCCCTGCTTCCTCCATTTTCTTGGAGAGCAATGGCAAATAGAGCCTGTTGAAGATTATAGAGGAAGGCATTCCCAAAGGAGTCACAGTAAGACCCTTCCTTGAAACTAACCTCTGGATGTGAGGGAGAGCCCAGACTGATTTTCACAGATT